TTAAGTGTCAATCTCAGCAACACTTATGTACAACATGTTTTTTTTGGTGTTATCAATATAAAGGCTTATAATCTCCTTGAACTCTCGAAAGGAAAATTAAACCTCCCTTCAAGTGTAACACAACATTCTGTTCTACACTGAAGCTGCCCTTTCTCTATAAGCATCCCATCCTAGCTCCCCCAAAATCTCCCCAAAACCCCTCTGATTATACTTCTGTAGCACTCACAGGGCTGCCAGGAACAGGCACTTGCAAAGCTTCTGGTAACTGCTGCCATGAGATAAGCCCCCTACCTGCCCTCACATTTGACTTTGCCAGGTAACACGTCCATAGTCTTGTGGGAGTAGGGAAAAAAGTCTTGAGCAGTATGCACTAAAAAAAGGCTAATTTTACCTTTGTTGCCTTAAAAAGGTGATGATGTTTTCTATTCTTTAAGCATTTCAGCAGCACTTTGAGGGTGAAAAGAAAGATTTTTAGCAGTTTGACCGAGGATCTTGTCCTTGCTCTTTGAAGAACAGCAAAAGAGGCACTGTACAGACACCATTGCTTCACCAAACACATTTGAATACAGCACAAAACTTATCAGCTGTTATCCACTCCAAGCAAGGTCACCCTGTCCAGAGCCAGAACCTCCAGTTCAGTGGAACCTCCTTAAAGCCAAATACTGGTTAAAACCTACAGGACTATGTAAAGCATGGTCACTCCAAGTGTCTCCACATTTCTGCCAGAGTGCCCTGGTGGATTTGTTGCCCAAGCAGCTCCATGCAGTTCCGTCAGCTCTCTGTGGAAAATGCTGCTCCTTTCCAGGTTGAGAACACACAAACTCAGCCCCCTCAGCTAGAACCACTTACTATTTCCAAGTAGCCCTTCTCAACACCAGGAGCATCCCCTTCTGCTGAACTCCAGCACGGGCTCCCTGTGCCTTGGACAGAGCCAAATGGCAGCAATTCCTGAATGCCACGGCCACCTCTGTATTTTCACAGCATCCATATGGGGACTGGAAAACACCCCTCGGAATGCTGCATCTCATTCTGGGTATCACAGCAGCATCGTGGGTTGCCGTTGCAAACAGTTTGCAGGGCTGATGTTACCTCTGTTGGGTGGCTTGTGAGATAAACAACATAATTTAATCCTGTACTGGTAAAGAGCAACAATCAGTACCAGAAAGATAAATTGCATTTCAGCTGTCCAGGCTGCTGCCACCCTGGAAAGCTTCGGTTTTGTTCTGCTACAAGTGAATTACTGATTTTGCTCCTGTTGTTGCTACACTATCGATCCAGGCCTGTGCTACAGCTTTATCATTTGATCAGCTGGGTTTAGTGCTCCTAGTTCAAAGAGTGAATTTACTGAAACTCTCTTCTTCTGATAATAAAGAAAAAGGTTAATATTCCTCAGTATTCATCTAACAGGCTTTTGAGAACCAGCTGCCTTCAAAATTCATTTGACAAACTGCACCATTCCTTGGGTTTATCAAACCTTGTGGTTTGTCAATACTCTGTAATAAATGCAAGTCTTTCTCAGACTATAAACAATGGTAATTTAAAAGTCACCATTTCTGTGTGCAGCACTTGAAGGGTCAACAAGCAACCGTGTGCTAAGCAGGAGAAAGCTACTGCCCTTTTTATTTCTGGCTAGCTGTGTGGCTTTGCACAGCCACAAACTAGGCCTTGATGAGAAAGCATTCAAATTTATACCTCTATTTGCAGCACAATTAGGAATCTTACAAGGTAAGAAGTATTTACCACCATCCACCAGCTGCAAAATATATTTCATTGAAAAGTTCCGAGTTACAACTGACACTTGCTAAAGGCAAACAGATGTAAAAAGTAGAAGCCACTTTCCAACCACTGAGATCATCACACAGAAGCAACCTGGAGACAATCACCATGAGAAACGAGAACCACCATTGCTGTGATCCATTCGAATTTGTTCAACATGAAGCTGTATTCCCTGATGGGTGTGTGACACTTTCCAGAAAGCCCTTCCATGGTTGTGACTGGTTGAAAATACCCAGTTCCCACTGTGTGTTTTTCCACCATGAAACGGAAATTTGTGTCAGATTGGTGCTCTTCTCCCACTGCTAAAAACTCAGATTATTATTTTTTTAAATCTCTTTTCCATTTTGCTGACTGTGCACGTTTTCCAGCTCCATAACCAGGTTCTGGAAGGATTCCACCCAAGGATGCTGAGTGATCATGCTGTAACATCGCTCTGCTGGCAGAAGGCACCAAGACAGACACACACGGTATTCCCACAACTGTCCTTTCCCCCACACCCACTCAAGCAAATCCTGGGTGTAAGGACTACTAACCATTAATGCATAAATATTTTAAGCTCCCTAACAGGTCCCAGGCAGATCTGTGGGGCTTTCTTTGCAATCTTGCTCATTGTAGTATATACTTAAAGGGGGAAAAAAAAAAAGTTTCTGTTTTTATCTCGACATTCCTTGTTGTGCTGCACAGCGGGCACTGCGCTGCCCTTCCACAGCCACGACGGTCATTTGATCCTCGCTTATCCTGAAAATGTAGCAGATGCCGTACTAAACCACGGAACTATTAGTGCCTGCTTGGAGGAGTGTACAAATTAAATCAATGTCAGAAGCGATGATTATCACCTTGATTGGTCAGCCAGTGAGTCACTCTGCCACCCAAGGGAAAATGCTCATGCCTTGCATCAGCTTTACAAATTCCAGTGGTTAAATACCTGTAAATTATGTCCCAAGACCCAGATATTTTGTTCTACTTATTGTATCCAGCAAAGCCATGCTAATACTTCACTTCCCAAACAAAAAATAGAAACAAACTTTTTTTACTGTATCAGCCTGTACTGTTACTCCTCTTGGCTCTGACACCCACTGCCTGCTCACAGTCTAAAATCTGTATTAATTTACAGTATGGCATCCCCAGAAAAACCAGATCTGAGTTCTGTATTGGTTTACAGTATTACATCCCCAGAAAAGAAAAAAATACCCTCCAAATCTTCTGCACCTTGAAAGATTTCACAAATCCCTCTCTGCCAACAGTATTCAAGATTTTTGAAAGTCACCACAAATTTAGCTAAAATCAAGCTATGATTCTAGATAAACCCCAGCCATTGCTTAAAAAGTGAAATTTCTTATTGAATTTCTTATGCTTACTGCATTGTGGGAAAAGTTCTGAGTGCTCGGACAGCCCAAAGGAGAATGGGATTGACAGGTTTTGCCTTTGATAAGCATGCACAGCAGTACTGACCACCAGTGTTAGGCCTGACAGTCCTTCACAGAGCTAGAACTAAAGCTGGTAAAACTGTGACTCCCTAGAAGGAGGAACAATTCTTTCTTTTCTCAGGAAACTGAAAGTAGTTGGGAGAAAATGTTTCTCTAAAAAGCATGTGACCTTATAAAAGTGTTTAGCAAGCACTGACAGATCTTGCAATAAAAAATGATGTAGTGAAATAATAACAGTATCTTAAACAGAATTAAAATATAACATTTTACTAGTTATTTCAAATAATAGATTTTTTTTTTTTCTTCCACCATTCTTATCTATATATTCAGACTCTAGCTAAACTCCAATTTATTAGGTACCAAGTGTTATATACCAAGATAAGAGAGTTAGGAGAAAGAAATACCTGGGTTTTGGTTTTGTTTTTTTCTTGCATGGTAGGTGACATTGCATTTTTTATGCCTAAAAACAAGCACCTTCTTTTGAAATATTTGGTCAGAAACCTCAGCTTGAAAAGGAGGTATTTGACAGAGATGTCACATTTACATCAGTGTAACATGCAAACAGCTTCTAAAGACAAACATTAAGAGGAACCTTGTGGAGGAGAACCTGTTCAAGGGGAAAACAAGCACAATCACAGTAGAGAAGTCCATTCACTGCCATGGCAGAACCAACAGCCATTGCCATCCAGATCTTGTGGTGGAACTTCAACTAGAGCAACAGGGAAAGAATGATGATGCCAATCATTTCCTTACTAATTGCACGCATTCATCTGCTGACTCTTCCTGTCTTTCAAGAAGTATCCATATTGTTCTCCCAACTAGTTTATCTTATCCTGAAAAAAAGTTTGCATAATACAACGGGACACTTTTCTTATGTGAATATATATTTTTTTTTTTTCTTTCCTGTATCACATTGGAGAAAAACACTTTGCTCTGTATTGCTAGTGTCTTTTAGGTATTACTTGGTGACTATGACCAATGGCATTTCTTGGCTCCCTATTCAAGTTGCAACACAACACACTATTTTGAGGTGCAAACAAATTAAAAGCAGGTGCCAAAGTTAATGTAGTGCATTTTACAAGTAATGTAAAACTTAAAGTTTTTGAAACCATTCTGTGTGTGTGTGTTCTGACATCCTTTGCCCTTCACAGATGTGTTTATGCATATTTGCCTCGTAAAATATGCACTTTTTATCCTCTTCACCATGATCCATTTGTCTTTTCAGCAGGTTTATGTTCAACACTATTGGAGTGGAATTGTGATGGTACCATTTAACCCAACAGCTAGCTGGGCTTGAAAATGTATCCATCCCCTTCCTATTAATTACTCTTTAATGCCTATTTCTATCACAGAGACTCGTGTATCATCCTGGTTTATTTTGGAGGAACATAGCCATAGGATGACAATTATTGATGGAGCATAAAAAACAGAGCTAAAGACTGCATAAAGAAGAAAACACAACTGATGTGGGAAGAGATGAAAAGATGAAAAATCGACTAGAGAAGAAAACTGGAATGAGCTAATTTACAAAAGAAAATGAACAAACCATGGCGAGGTAACTCTGAATAAGATGAATTGCTACACATTTCCTTCCTCTTTGCAATTTTTATCTTATTTAATCTTCTGTTCCACTTTTCTGTGTAACAGTGCTATGCTCTCTTAAACCCTGATTCCACTCTTACGTAAGTTTGCTAGCTGGGTGTTAAGCGAGATCCTCTGCATAAACTGGTATATCACTATCAACTTTGGGATTGTTACTCAAATTTAAGCCAGCCGAGGATTTGCTCCATTGACTTTCATGGATTTATTTTAAATTTATTATTCTGAATTCAGAATCAAGAGCTCTGGATATAAATCTTGAACATAAATAGACAATTTCCAAATCTAAACAGTATAGCCACAAGTACCATACAGAAAAACAAGCTAGGCATGTATTGAACTGTCTGAAAAGTTAACCAAATGTTGCTGTGCAATTATTAGTAGTTTTCTGTTTATTAAACAATAAATCAAGATCCAAAAACCCTAATTAATTTAAATGAAGTATTGTTTAGTGAAATGGGAGCCTGCCAAAATAGTTGTTGGGGAGGACAATTAATTGGTACAAATGTGAGTGCAAATTTTGTTTTTAAACTTTAAAGCGTGTTGTTTGTAGTATACAACGTATGTGCACAATACAAATTTCATACATTTTCCTCAGTGACAATAAAAAGCGCAGTTTATTATAAACTGAAGTAAAAATTAAAAAAAAAATAAATCACAGTTTTGTCATTGGTATGTGAAGGTTGTTCCAAGGGCCCATCCAGAGCTCCTCTTCATCTGACTGTGTGTGTTCACTGTGTGACTCCAAGGGCTCTTTGACATCCTCATGATCAACAACCGATTCTTGCTCTTCTGTGCTTTTCATTTTAGAGCCCCCTGGCTTTGTTACTAGATTTTCAGCCCCTATAGTAGAGGAAGCAAATGAGACACTGCAAGGTCTTGTGTTCTTTTTATCACTAGAAGATGGTCCCTTTGACAACGTGTTCAGTGGGACATTCTCCTCATGTGTCACTGCAAGCTTGTCCAGTTTCTTGAATTGCTTCCCCAGCCTCACTGGAGATGTGACTTTTAAATTATTACCAAGGCAAACGCGACGGGTTCTGACAACAGAGCCATTCTGTGCAATGTAGATGTTACCATTGATGTTGTTTTGAATGCTTGTGTTATTAAGACGATTCCTCTGGCTGGAATCGGGAGCGCTGTCTTCTCCAGTGGAGCTGGTCTCATACTCTGGGTCGACTACCAACTTGATCCTTTTCTTTCTGGCCCACTGTTTGACAATAAATAGAAATGTTGTTAAATCTCAGCACTATTTCTTACAGTTTCCTGCCCTTTTTCTATCTTGTTATTTATCTTGTCTTTTATCTAGACACTCATATGAATTTTTATTAACTTGGTCTTTTGTACCCTTCCTCTTTGGTTGTACACAGATGTTTCTTAACTGTTTTGATTACCACCGTGTGCCACTATCATATACACCTACTGCATGAACACGCAACCAATTCTTTATACTAAAAAGTTCTGAGAAGGATAGACTTGTTTTAGTTTATGAACTGCATAATGTGAGTCAGATAGAGTGTATAAAAACTGTGGTTTTCTTCAGGTTTGGAAAGTAGTGACAAATTTGGTGTGGGGTTTTTTATGGGTTTTTTGTTTGTTTTTGTTTTTTGATAAAGATTCATTCAGCTGTGCTCCCATTAAGTCAAAGTGCACCTTCTTTGGAGAATTCTGAGAATGGAGACACCACTTCCTGAAAGAAAACTTCTGTAAATCACAATATTGGTAAGCCAGTTGTGTTTTGACAAAGCAATGTCTCAAGTCTGTCTTACAAAGAGCGATGAAAAACAATTAGATTAATTACCCCATCTAACAGAAACTGGAGGGCACTGACAATGAAGCTATTGTGTAAATGATAATTTCTAAGAAACTACTGTACTAATGGGTAAATGCTAGGAAGACCTTAGAAGTTTTCTTCCAGAGTATGACTACATTGTAAATTCAGTGCAGAAACAGCATCGAGCAGGTCTGTTTTATATGCACAACACAGCAAGCAGAGAAAGATCTCAGGACCTACACAAGGGAAATTCTTGGGCACAACATTGGCAAAATTGTCTGGTTAAAAAAAAAACTTGATCTAAGATGTTGTGTCAATTCCTATCTAGTGGAATCAATGGAGATGCTTTGCTATTAAATAGAAGATGGTGGAGAAATGAGATTTCAGATTTTATATAATTAATATACTTTTTAAAGAGTTAATGCAAATAAATTCCACGTTGCTGTGACTCTGTACTAACTATGATTACACAAAACCCACTACTTATTTTAATTTATAATTGAGCTTTTTAAAATAAATGCCTCTTTGCAGTACAGTGAAACAAGCTACTATCATTCTTGAAGTAATAATGAAAACACTGTTATTTCACTAAGGCAGCAGATACCATCACAGTTAACCCCCACTGCAATACATACACATGCACACAAGAAAAGCCAGTTTTTAGAGAAAGAAAACCATGCGAGGTACAATTGGGTGGTGATTACTCTTAAGATTTTGAGAAATTACACTTTGTATAAATTACTTAAAGGCCTATTGTTTTGTTCCTGATAAAGCCATACAATTTTCTTCACACAGATATATTCAGGTGGATGAAAAGACTGACTAGTGTAAATGGCATTTATGTTAAAATACCATGTGCAGCTACAACTTTCTGCTATATAGGAATATAAAAAAGTGGGTAAGTGATCATAAAGCTAATTCACATTTCAACTGGAATTAAAGACAGCAGCTGAAAAGTTAGTATCATGCTTTGCAGCACAACACCAATTGTCCTGCCAGGGTAGCTCCACAGCAGGCTCAACTCTTAAAAACTCAAATGTTTTTCTCTCCCCCATCTAACAGAGACTTCCTGGCAGAGCTTTGGTGCATATACCAGAATTTGCAATAGCTTTAAAGTACTAACTCATAAGACTAATCCAATACTGGCTCAAAGCTTTAATTTTATTTAGGCTTCTTATGGCTTATCTGGATAAATCTAGTGGTTGAGAAACAGCTGTGTGGCTTTTGATACGAGGTAAATAGAGCACAGATAGCTTGTGTGTATACAAAGCTTGCGTACTCTGTGTGCTGACAGCATGGTACTTCATGCAGAGGTTGCTTCTTATATGAAAACAAAAAGGCCACTTGTGCTGTCAGTAACAGAAGTCCTTCCTAGGCAATCATGTTCATTCTGATCAGAACCGTACTAATGAAAGTGCCACAAGATTTCTCTATTGAATGACATCAGATATTCCAGGTTATTGAATTTTAAAAAGCAGATTCAAAAATGTAGAACATAGGCAATGGTTGCCTTCAGCAATACTTTGCTGTTCTGCATCTCAAACTTTTAAACAGATGTTTGAAAAGAAAAAAAATTTTTAAAAAAATTAAAAGATCACTGTACTGTTAGATGGAAAGGGCAGCAGTTGGAACATGTAACCCCTTTCCTCTTCTGACCAAGCTCACTTTGTACACCTACCTCTGCATTCCTGTCCTGTACATTACTAGTACCAGAAACCTGAATCTCATGATCCAGAAACAGTTTAATCCCAGCTCTGCTAGTAATACTCTGCAGTTCTGGGAGTGTTGCTTTGCTGCAATTTCATCAGTCCTCCCTGCAAACAGGGCTAATGTTTACAGCAGGAACTCGTTTGAAGATTAGTAAATGTTGTACAGTAGGGGAACGTAAGGTGAAACCATGTATGACTTCTAAGCCTTTTCATAGAATCATAGAATGGTTTGGATTGGAAGGGACCTTAAAGATCATCTAGTTCCAATCCCCCTGCCATCAGCAGGGACACCTTCCACTAGCTCAGGTTGCTCAAAGCCTCATCCAGCCTGGCCTTAAACACTTCCAGGGAGGGGGCATCCACAACTTCCTTGGGCAACCTGTTCCAGTGTCTGACCACCCTCGCAGTGAAGAACTTCTTCCTAATATCTAATCTAAACCTACCCTCTTTCAGTTTAAACCCATTGCCCTTGTCTTGTCATTAGTTGCCCTTATGAAAAGTCCCTCCCCAGCTTTCTTGTAGGCCCCCTTCAGGTATTGGAAGGCCGCTATAAGATCTCCCCGGAGCCTTCTCTTTTTCAGGCTGAACAGCCCCAACTCTTTCAGCCTGTCTTTCATCCTCATCATCATTCCTGTCTTCACTTAATTCCATGTTTTGCCCCTTTTCCTTCCTGCAGTCTTCCATTTTGCGACAGACATAACCTGCAGGAATGTAGGGCCCTTAACAGGTTTGCCCCATCAGGTTTGTTAAGCTATCCATCACAGCTAAAGCAAAAGGCAATGTTACTTTGCTTCACAACATGCATAATGCAAAAAGGATTAAATCTTAAGAATCAACACAATGCCTCTTTAACTATGTTATTGACATTAGCAGAGAAAAAGAAGTACTCCTTCCTGCCACTGCTCGATGAAAATTAACCTTTCTATATCCACCACGAAGTATACCTGAGGAGTCTGTCAGAGAAATTATGTTAGTTTTGTTTTCTACAGTTCTGTCCTTAAGACAGTGGACAGGGTTTAAACGCGAAGCAAGAAGCTTCAACTTTTTCTTTTTGGCTGTCTCTAGCCAAGTGTGTATTGCTTAGGAAAGACCACACAGAAGGCACGGCAAACATGATCACTCCTCACTGCAAAATGTTCACCTACTGTCACTCCTTTTTAAAAGGATGTAGAATCACCCGTAGTCTCTGACTCCGTAACGGCAGTATCGAGGGTCTCATCTGACTGAGACTGACTGTTTTCCTGGGACATCTTTTTTCTTACTTTCTTTCTTTTCATGTTGGTGTCAGAACTTTGATTCTCAGTATCAGGGGAAGTAGCAGTTTTACCAGAAGTGGCACTAGCTGTGCTCTTTGTTCCTTGAGTACCTTTGGAAGTAACACTGATTTCACTTTCCAGGCAAGAAGATTCATTCTTACTGATAGTTTCCTCTCTGTCACTAGCATCTGTATCAGCCTCTTCTGTGCTTTCATCCTCACTATCCTCACCATTACTAGCTGATTTTCCTCTCTTGTCTTCTTCACTAGCAGCAGTTTTTGCATTGGCAGATGTTTCAGAAACTGCCTTATTTGAGTTATTATTTGCTGTCTCATCAGGGCTGGCGCTGACTTGCTCCACATCCTCTTGTTCATCTTCTTCTGACACCTCTTCTATTGTGTCTTCTATTTCAAGGCTGGCGGAGGAGGTTTTGCTTTTATAGCTGGATCCTGAAGTTTTCCTGTAGCTCGTGTCCCTGTCACTACCTGATGCATTAGAGCTGATACTTGATTTCTGGCTGGATCGCCTCGTTCTGCATCGAGAGCTACCTCCCCTACTTTTTATACTGGACCTTTCAGTGCTTCTACTGCTGGACTCACTAGTCCCTGATCTGCTGTATGAACTTTGTGTAGATGAGCTCTTTGACAGGCTACCATCTTCATCACTGTCAGAGTCTTCCTCATCATCATCCTCTTCGGATGAGTCTTCCTCTGATTCACTACTAGAGCTGGATCCAGAGTCATCATCAGTATCCCCAAAATCGTGCCCAGTTTCTTCATCTGAGTCCACAGTACTTTCAGTGGCTTCATCTTGGTCCAGAGTTACTTTCAAGTAATCTTTATCATCTGACTCCGAGCCAGAGCTAGTGCTCTTCACGGATGACTCATCTGAGGTGTACTTTCTTATCTTCTTTTTCTTCTTCTCATAATCACTATCCTCGTGTTCACTCTCTGCTGTGATATTTATAGAAACTCCTGATTTTTCTTCCTCTCGGTCATACTCTTCCTGTCTTTCTCCTCTTGCATGCACTGAGTCTTTGCTAATAGGCTCTTGAAATTTTCTGGAGACACTAATGCGTTTTAACACGTGATTTAGTTTTCTCATCGAAGGTCTGTCATCTGTCGATTTCTGGAAGTAACTTCCCCTGATAATCATGCTTTTCTCACTGTCTGCTTGGCGAGCTGACATCAACTTGGCGTAACTGGAATCTTTCCTACTGCCCTTCACTTTCTGCAGAATCATCGGGAATATCTTTGCTTTCTTCCATGGAGAACGAGCGGACTCAGTTCTTCCTACCGGTTTGTGAGCACTGACTGCTACACGACTTAAATGCATCACTGCTTTTAGTTTCCTTTTTCCCTGGCTGGTCCTATAAGCTCTTCCAGAACCATGTCTTAGATCCATCCCACTACCTAAAGGTCTACCGTCTATTTGAGCCCCTGCTCTCTGGCTTATACCTCTGCTTGAAGGACCTCTGCCTTGACTCATCCCCTGCAAATTATGAAAATGGAACTTGATTACAATTTGAAACACAATTATTGTGGAAACTCGAACCCTAAAATAAGTCAGTAGGAACGAAGGCAACATTTTTTCCCAACATCAAAACAAACTTACCTGTTTTAGAATAGCTTTTTACCAAAGTTATCGGGAAAGTTTTACTTCTAGAATAGACTGCAAGTGCACAACTACCTTACTCTGCAACAGGGAAAAATACTGGCCCAGAAATGTTATCTCTTCTCAGTTAATTAAAACCTGTGTGATGGATTAAGAGTCTAGTCCTTCTGAAAATTAGATTAAAAAAAAAGAAAAAAAGGAACATTTACGACAACTTTCTTCTGGCTGCCACTGACATTTTAAAATTTCTTTACATTCACTTGTGAACTTTATGATAAATGAGTTTAGGTAACTGCTTTTCTCAGTGGAAAATCACCGGTTATAGGCTGAATATTAGTAATAGCCCATTTGGTTAACAATACAAAATGGAACTACCTAAGGCTATGTGGATTTTTCTTTGAACTAGAAACATATACTGAGGGAAAAATAGACGTGGCTATTAAAAGAAACTTTGCAATTCCTTTTTATTGCTAGAAGAAGAGAAAGAGGTGCTGACACAAACTTTACCAGTCATCAGAAGGGCAAACAATAATTAGTATTGGAAGAGCTGCTTATTTGGTCTATACAGAACACAATATTCTCATCAATTACAAAATATATTTGACAAGGTTTAACGGTCCTTCGGTTTGTAGGGACAGAATCAACACACCAGAGATGCTTACCTCTTCTGCTGTTGATCCATGTGGACTATAGTAGTAGCCACCGTCATTCTCCACCATGACTTCCCCATACTCGTCATACATCCCCGAAGGAGACAGCAGTCGGCGGCGGCTCCCATACTGAGGCAGTTCATACCTGCCAAAAACACCATTGTCTCTTCATAACGTGCACCAACATGTCAACATCTGTCCCCACACACAGCAACAAATGCACATGCTCACATCCCAAAAGGACAAGAATTTCTTTACTCTCTTTTCTCTCTACCTTTGAGAAGATCATTATTCCTTTTTGCTCAGTGGTAACACAATCCAAAACCTCTTCCTATTGCAACTGTAAGCCCATTAAAACTGGAAGGCAACCTGAATTGCCAGGTCTCTGGGATCAGTAAAAAATCCCCCAAGTGCAGTGACCTTCTTTCCAGGTACCTGATTTTTTGGGGGATCTTTTCTATAATTAGGGAATAAAAGAGCAGGTTCCCTGGGGTCAGTTCTGGGTGAATGCCCATGAGCTTGTAAGAGCAGCAATAATCCCTGAAGTGCTCACAGTCAGATGGGCGTAATCGGAACGAGGCAGGATGATGTCTTTTTCTAGGTAAATGTAAAAGGCCAGAGGCTGGCTGGAAACTGTGAGCAGGAAGTATCAGTCACTGAACTCAGGCTGGTGAGCCACACAAGGGGATGAGATGATGGAAATTTAATTTCCAAGACAGCAGATATATATGCAAATAAAAAAGTGAATATAAAACCAGCATGATAGATGTGGCATAAATTCTGCTGTGTAATGATTAGATTCCTACAGAAGCAGGGAGTTATACAACATCCCTTTCACTTTTAAAAATGGTTTTGTTGTCAGTGCACGCCTTTGTGGACACAAAGATGAAGGAAAGTCTCCAGATTAGATGGTGTAATAAAAAACATAACCAACCTGGAAAAGCAGCATTTTCAGAAATATATAGGAAAAATTAAAATATACCCATGCTCATAGCTGTAGTAATCTTGCCCATAGTATTCCTGCCCTGGATCAATTCCAGACTCCATACTTAACTCCTGTCAAAAGAGAAACACTGGTTGAATGCAAACGGTTATACACAGCAATGACTGATGAAAAAGGCGCAAAGAACAGTATCTTAAAATGCGAACAAGCAAAAAAAAAAAAAATGATTTGAGGAACATGGACAACTGTCAAGAACCATAATGAGAAGTCAAGAGGAGCTTTAAAGGAGCCCTTCCCTGGTGTATTCCGTGGGAGTGACTGTTCCAAGGCAGCTAAATGCAGACACCGTTCTGGTATGGGACACTGTCTAGCTTCTCCTGTACAAAAGCCTCATTCAGTAAACTGGACTCAAAGCAAATATGCTGTCACTTCTTGAGTTTGTCTCAAAGGAAAAAGCAGCGTTAAAAGATTAAGACTATTTTACTTAACACTGTTTGCCAGGTCTCTTATTTTAATGTTTTCTCAACTATCAACAATCATGAGCAGCCTTGGACTAAGCTAAGTACTTGTCTGTACCCTACAAAAAGTACCAGAGTGTCCTTAAGCTCCTTTCACCTAGTGTTTGCTATCAGGTGCTCTGTGGAATACTTCTGAACTGCAGCATCAACACAGAGCACCAGGGCTTGGGTTTTGGCAAGGGACTGCACGTTGTCTCTATCTCACAGCTGTCCTAGAGGGAGGTTTTTCTCCTGTCCAAAGGAGTGAAACTTGTGTCAGAGCATCTCGTTGTAATGACTTACAATGACTGCACAAATGATCACCATTCTGTATCACAAAAATACCATCAATACCAACATCTCACAAAAGCTACATTGCTTATTCTAGAAACTATATTGGGTCTAAAAGATTTTAAAGTATTTGGTTTATAATCTAGTGGCCTTTGCACTTCACAGCAGTGTGCTAACGCTTCCATTACCTCAGCAAGCCAACTGTTTAGTTCGTCTCTAGGTACAGTAATAAATTACATCTGACATCTGAAAAAACAGATTGTGGTTGGACAGTGAGAAAATTATTCTGTCTGCGAATCTGGACACAAAACTAGGAAAGCTTTCAGCCTGTATGATGAAGTCCATGGCAATGACTGAAAGATGCTCAAGGGGAAAATACCAAGATACAAGAAATTTAAGGTATTAAAATAATATAAATAGGGTAACAATGTCAGGATTTTCCTTTCTATCTTATAGAGTCAGGGGGAAAATGTTACCTAAGACAGACAAGTTTTTAATAGGAAGTTATGTAAAAGACATTTAAAAAGTTACAGAATAATTAAGAAAGGAAAAATAGTGGTACCTCTGGTCTGAGAAGAGAAGGTCTCAGCAACTGCTGTTGCTACAAAAGAAAATTAGAAAGGGGTTAATTAGACAGCAACAATTAAAGTGCAGGTTATTTGTGTTTGAGTTAAGATTGGAAAGAAATCCTAAAAATAGAGGTCCTACATAGTCTTTTGTATGGTAGTCACCCGGATACTTCCATACTCAGTGAGAAGCAGAACACTGCTAAGCACCTAATGGAGTAAAATCACTTTACAGTCCACTATTTCTTTTGCCCAATATCAAATTCCCAGTTTGTGTGGTGATTCTCTAAATTATTTAACCCAAGAACTCCTGTCAGAGCCCAAGAGAACTGTTGTGTAGTCTGTGTTGGAGACAGGAGGGAGACAATGGCAGACCAAAAATTATCCACAACAGTTAGAAAGCAAATCTATGGGAATCTGCAGTAAAGTCTGTGATTCAGCTGTTAAAAACCTGAAGTGATCCAATTTCCTACCCAAGCTTCTACTGCAATACCATCGCTTTAATTCTTTACTTGTATTTATATATTTCTGCGGCTTTTAAATGAATATTTCACAACCATAAATATACTTTAATTCACAGTACCAATAAGACAGTGAATGATTATCTCACTTGTTTTCTCTACAGCTTACCTGTGATTTCTTTCTGTATGTGGCATGCAGTGAGAAAAGCATGCTGAGGCAAGGGAAAAGACCTGGGAGGCTGCATGGAGAGGACCGACAGGACTCCTCTCAGGTGTGTCACAGCTAAATATGGGCCATTTTTGGTAGTCATGTTAATTACTCTGCAGCTCCGGTTTTCTGCAAATGACAGACTGACGCACAGCAGACTAATGCACAGCACCTGCTGTTTTGTGAATTAGAATCAGGTTTACTCAGGAAAATCTGTACCATTGTCCCCACACTCCTCCCAAAAGTTGGTGCCACTATTTCAGCCAAGTTTCTTGGCCAGAACTAAACCCTGAGAGATGGGGAAGTTCTGTATCTGAATTGAGAGACACAATTCAGTTCTGCAAAGGGAGGAAAAAAAAAACACAGAACAACAGTAAGCTTGCAGTTTGTAAGACATTATTAAATAAGGAGCAGCAGGCTCCAGACACATATCTTAAGATCAGTAAAACTGATCCAGCTCTCAGCAGTAAATATCTGCCTTTATGATAGAAATGTATTGTGGAGAACTTTCCAAATACTAAATGAGTTAATTCTGATTGCTGAAGGAAATTCTCCATGTTACTCATTGCTGGAGAAAAAGATGCTGCCAGAATGACAGACTACACTGAGTTGCAGAAAAGGTCTGTGCAGTTCAGCAGCAGGCCCATGACAGCGGGCAGTGGCAGGTGATCAGGCCATAAGAAAAGACAGCAAGTGTGGAGGGAATTCCCTGGGGAACAGTTTTCAGCAGTCTGTCAAGCAGCAGTCTCCTAGCCTGGAGGTTACATTTATGCCATGATGGTTACTCACCGCTAGTGAATCTAAGCCTCGTGAGCTTTTTGAAAAACTTTATATTTCTGGCCTCTAAAACATCCAGTAGCAATGAGTTTCACAACACAGGCTGTGTGGGAAAAGTATGCTGACGTTGTTAATATTTTAAATGCAAATAGGGAACAGCCTTACCTCTTGCTGTGCGTATCCTCGCCTAGAAGTCACAAAAAGAAAAAAAAAAATATTAGTATGCTTCTGTGAGACTACATAAAGATGCACATTGCCATTCTTTCTGGAGAGAGGTGAAAAGATAATGTAATTAGAAACATTGCTAGCAAGAAAAGAAATACATATCTACAATACAAAATATGTTTTTCTTTAGATTTGCTCTGGACATAGGAATCATTGCATGAGAAAGGCTAGTGGAACTTTGGGATCTTTTCTTGCTTTAGATTGCAAATGAATGAGGAGAAATCCCCAATCCCCAAAAGCCAGAGAGCCAGTGCACTCAGTGGAACTCAACAAAGGGCAGGAGGGTGAATGCTGTGTTTGCCTTTCCTTGGGTTCCCATGAGAGAGGTCTGGCCCAGTCACCACCTCTCTTGGCTCAGGGACCATCTACGGAGAAGCTCTGTTACTTCACACATCTGCTTAAGCAGTGAAACAGTTTCTCTTCTACTTCTGGACTTTCTGTATCCACTCAGGACTTGATAGAAATTGGCCTGAAGCTCCTATTACTAATTTCTTGTAACAACATTATTATTAAATTTACACATTTCCTAACATTTGCTCAGCAGGGGGGAGTTAAATTATTTTTGCTATCTCTGATTATTTTGCCACAGGCTTTGTGCTTTTGATCTTATCAGAAATTTTTTGTTGTTGTTTTAATTCATTTTCTCGGAGCCATTCATATGCATGACAAATGCACTTGTGTCTATCAAGTTCTCTATTTACACATTTTATGCCAGAAAATTAAAATGGTTTAGGCAAAACTAGGGAACACCAATTTAGATTATTGAGGATAAGCCTGGATTATTTTTTTTTTTTTTTTTTAAAGAAGGAAAGGGTAAATGCACAAAATTATGTTGAGCTTAACCTAGTAGACAGACAGCAGTCTAGAGAAATTCTTTAATTCCATTTGAGTAAATAATAAAGAACAGAGTAGAAGTTATTTTAATTCTTTAATATCACCATCTATAAAGTTTTCTATTAATATTCAGCACATGGAACTGATTATCAGCATTAAAAGAACGCTGTTGCCCATATAATATAAAACTAATGAACAACTGAAATGAAGATTTATCATCAAAAGATGATCTGTGACTTTTCAAAGCTCACTTGAGGAACATGGTATTTAATTTCCATATTGCCTACAACAATCTTCAGATAAAGAAGATCTTGTGTTGCACAGAGGATAAGTAAGCCTATTACTCTTAATTGCTCTCGAGTAGTCACTATGTGGCAGATTAAAATTCTAATATAAGTAATTCTAATTCAATTTGGAATTCAACTTTCTTAAAAATAGCACCATGCTGTGTTTTGACAGATGCTTATAGTTCTCTTATAGTTTTGTGTGGCCATGATCAGAAGGAAAATAAGCCCCTAAGGGACAAAAAATACCTGTTCACTCAATACAGCACAAGGATCTATTCTGACAGAAATACAAAGGTCAAAACAACATCATTTGTTTCCAGGAAGGAATTAAAGCTCTCCACAGAGGGAGGAATTGCTTCTGGATAAACATTATCAGCCAGACTTCACTGCAGTCAGTTGGAGAGAAATCTTCAATGCAAAATGGGAAGCAAAGCCATAGCGCCCATGATGATGTAGGATAATATGACAGCTCGTATACACTGCTGGTACTTAACATGAAAGGTAAAACACAAATGAATTTGCATGTACGAAACGTGCTGACCTTTCACAGGTCTGTACTGCTACCATAGGTTAAAGGAACGGCCGTTTGCCTGTGACAATTTTCCTAATTACTGGCATCCCAGCAGGCATTTGCTATTTCATACTTTAAATCTATTTCCATATTAAAAACAAATGGATCATAAACCCCAAATACTACAGATACTACTCAGAGGAGGCAGCTGCTTTTCAGTTTGCCCTGACTCTTAAATGGAAGTTTCCTGCAGTTCATAGCTGGAACTGAGGAGAAGGAATCTGGAAGGGAGATGAGTGTGACACGCTACTGCTCCATTTCAGCTTTGCAAACGGGTTTGCAAAGAAGCGCTCTGCACTGATGCGATCCCTGCTCCTGCTCCAAACTCAACCCAGTCAAGCTGCTGATGAAAGGATGAGAGATATATCCAGGGTCACATCTGACCATAATTAACCAAACCAGACAAGCTGAAGAGGGGTCAATAAGCTTATATATGCTCAACTTCTTACCAACTAATACATTGCTTGTAATATTTTGTAGTGCTGCAGAACTGCAGTAGCATCCAGACATCTCAATGAGACGGAACTTCCCTGGGTTAGGTTAAAAATACACGCTACTGGTACAGTTTCTTTCCCAGTCTAATAGAATGAATTTTTTTTTTAACAAAGGCTATTCAGAAAACCAGCAGGAGAACAAAGTTTGCATTACTTCCAGACAAAATGAAACTAGATTTTGTAAACTTTCCAATTTATTAAAGGTTTCCAGACTGAGGTGTTCCTCATTAGTGAGGGGCTGATTACCATGACCCCCCACAGACTTTTCTGAGACTGATGAAACTAAATATTTAAAAAGGAGTTCCTGTGTGATATCCACTCTTTCTGCTTTAAGGAATGCCACAAATAATTGCAGCCAAAACTTTGGGGTTTATGCTGTGAATTACTGAACACCTGCAGCTTTGCTGCATGACACTACACGCTGCAAAATTAGGTCATATTTGTCTTAATAGTTCACTAGCATTGTAATGAACTTCACAGAAGCACCTCTTATGGGTCTCCAAGCTCTAAAATGAGATTTGGGTACTTAAATTAAAATCTCTGTCTTAAAGGTTGGTCCACTCTGAACACGTTTAGCACAATAATTTCTCATGCTCATCTCTGCACACTTGCCACTGTCCCACTGTCCCCACACCTGGCCCATGGCAGACACACAGACACAAATACATCTTCTGTCATCCTCCAGTTCTGGGTCTTAAATCTTAAAAGTTTCTCTACCTTATAGCTGCTGAACTTTGGCAATTTCCTGCTGGTGCTGCAGTAGTGCCGCCCGTGGAGAATTTAGCATCATTGGCAGATACTCTACATGCACGTATCTCATAAATTATGCAGATTCTGTTACCAGCCAACATGCCATGATTAATAATTATTCCCCTCCCACATTTAGCTACTGTACATGTCTTGGAACTACAGTCTAGGCTAACAAGAGTTTTAAGCAAAGAAAAATTCTCATGTATCAGCAAAACTTGTGTGGTGGAATTCAAGGAGCTTGGCTCTGGGACAAAGAAAGAGAAACTACCTCAGCAGTTTCTGACTGAAGCATCCACATATGTCCTAACCGCAGATTTAAAAAAAAAGAGAAAAGAGAAAAAGTGAAGCACCATGGAAATGCTAAGTATCTCTAGACAGTCTGATAAATAATTACATTTTTGCTCAGAATTACAACATTTGATACTGAAATGGGTTTTTAGTTTTTCTTCATGATGTAATATTTGCCTTTCCCAATGGTTTTTGTTGTTTTTTTTAAAATTGTCATTTTAAGCACGAGTATTTTGAATTTTGGCAAAAGACTAAAAAGCAACTTGCAAGTTGAACCAAACTAATGTTCACTTAAATGCCAAAATGGTTTTTACTTACCTTTTTTTTTTTTTTTTTTTTTTTTCCCAAAGGACAAGCTAATTTACTTTAATTGCCATATTTCATGTAAAGGTCTGATTTAGATAACTGTGAGCAAAAAAGCCAGTAAGTAAATCCATATTACGAGGATTTTTACAAGTACTTGAAAAATCTTAGCTTGGTGACACTAATCAGAGTGACTTTATTACAATTTAAGATAAGTGAGATGCTTCAGCTGTAAAGCTCATAACAAACTAGCATGAAAATTAAAGAGAAACACCAACAACATACACATGGCAAAATAAAAATCAAACAAATGCTTTGTACATTAAAGAAATTTACAAAATAAAACTTTTAACATGCAGTTACAATATAAAAAATGCAATGGAAGGCAGAACATAGGTAACAGGAGGGAAGACAGCCAGGTTTACTGACAAATCAAGAGAAAATCCTTCTGACTCAGAGACGCAAACGTGAGCTGAAAGCAAGCACGCCAGCAGAGCAGGGCGCTGCGTCATCTCCCCCGCAACATGAAGACACATTACTGCAATAACTCTGGCTCGCTAGTGCTGAGCCTGCTTACTCCCAGTACTTGCGTGCTTTGACATCCAATATTTGACAGGAAGATTCCTCCCAGGTGGTACATTTTATGGGCAAAGCAAGAGATTCCAATTACAGCTGGAGAAAAATCACTCTGCTTACTGATATTACCTACAGTGAAGGCTGCTTAACATAAAGCAGTATCAAGCCCTCTGCTGTCTATGACTCATCCTTGGATAAAAAATGAACAAGAATTTTTGGTAAACAGACTAAGAACCAGCATTATAGAAAAATAAGATGCAGCTCTGAGAGACAACAACTTGTAGAATTATTATACATTACAAATTGCCCACTGAACAGGAAAGAAAATGTCTCTCAATTTTGGGATTAGGACTGAGTAAGTAGTGACATACACCAGAGAACGGGAAAAACTCTGAATTTCTAGAGTCTGAGGCAGATACCATGTGCTGCATTAGAGTCATCTCACTCAAAATGTTGCATGCAGAAAACATCCAACTGTAAAGATTACAGTGCTGTCGACTGAGAGGGAAAGCGTTTCTCAAGCTCCTCCACAACACAGCTCAAGTTGCCATTCTGCTGGTTGGGCTCAGCCACAGCTTCTGGAGTTGGCAGCTCTGGTGTTGCAACCGGTTTGAGCTTAGAAACATGCTTGGGCAGAACGTGGTTTTTGTCTATTTGGCTGTACATGTTGGCCACAGACCTTTCGATTGCTGCTAAATTCTGAATGTTTTTAAGAATACCTTTCAACTCCCTACGGGGAGGAAGCTCTGGCACTGTGGCCGGTGGTGGTACAGCTGGCTGTTTGGCAGGGGATTTTGAATGCTTGGCAGAGGAGAGGTGCTGGGTGCTAAGAGGAGATGAAGAAGAAGAAAGAGAAACT